GACCCCCCCCCCAGGCCCGCCCGGTCCCCCGCTCACCGGAAGGGGCCGCAGCCGCCGCTCTTCCCGGACGGCGCAGGTTTCTTTCCTCCCCCGGCCGGAAGTGAGGCCTACACCGGAAGCGCCCTTCTCCTGCGCCGCCGCGATGGATCCGTCCGCGCGGCCTGGAGGCGGCCCAGGGGGCGGCGGGCTTTCCTGATCCAGATCCCGCGGGAGGCTGCGCGCCTCGCGTTCCGCCCTCTCTGCCGCCGGCGCGCCTCAGCGGTCCCCCCCGGACTACAACTCCCAGAGTGCTCTGCGGCCAGCGCGGCTTCGGGATGGCGGCGCCCGGGCCCGAGGCGAGCGACGGCGACAGCGAGGAAGACGCGGCGGCCTGGCAGCGCCTGCGGGAGGCGGCCTGGGATCCGGCGCTCGGCCGAGCGGCCGCCCTGGCTCCAGGCGGTAGGGCTTCCTGGCCCGCGAGGGCCGAGCGGCCGGGGCTCCTCTGCGGCCTCCGGGAAGGCGCCCCGATCCGTCCGGCGGCTGGTGGCGACGGCGCCCCGGTTGCCCAGAGAGCTCAGGCCGAGCCTTTCCAGCGCCGCCGTCTTCGCACCTGCGGAATTAGCCGCCGCGGCGGGGCTTGCTCTTCGGTGGGCGCCGGGGAGCTTCGGTGGCTGCCAGGATGGTCTGTAGGGCAGATGTCTTCAAGCTTGGCCACTTTAAGACTTGTGGACTTCAACTCCCAGAATTCCTCAGCCAGCTTTGCTGGCTGAGGAATTCTGGGAGTTGAAGTCCACAAGTCTTAAAGTGGCCAAGCTTGAGGACACCTGGTCTATGGAGTCTTTGGTCTGTGTGTGTCTGTTGTGTGTGTATCATAAAATATATCTATGTTTTTATATACGTACACATGTACACACACACATGCATGCAAATAATCCTCGACTTACAACAGTTCGTTTTCCGACGGCGCTGAAAAAAGACAGGACCGTTTTTCACACTGAACGACCGTTGCGGCATCCCTGTGGTCAGGAGTCACACACGTAGAAACTGGTTCATATTTATGACGGTTGCCGCATCCTGGGCTAACGTGATCCCCTTTTGTGACCTTCTGAGAAGCAAAATCAATGGGGAAGCCAGATTCACTTAACAACCGTGTTATTAACTGAACAACTGCAGTGCTTCACTTAACAAGCGTGGCAAGAAAGGAACCAAAATGGGGCACAACTCATTTTAACTTAGTAAGGGAAATGTTGGGCTTTATCGTCATAAATCAACGACTACCTGTATGTATGTGTATGTACAATACTATAAAATATATTTGTTACAAATAGAGTGATGTAAGAAGGGGGATTCAAACCCATCACCTCCCTGTGACAGAGCTTGTGCAAAGGACTTGGTCGGGCTCTCTGGGAGATCCTTCCCACCACTCAGCTCTGCCAGCTCAATTGCCCTTGGAGGTTAGTACTGCTTTATAAGGCCTTGGTAAAGCCACACTTGGAATTTTTGATCACCACGATGTAAAAAAGATGTTGAGACTCTGAAAGAGTGCAGAGAAGAGCAACAAAGATGATTAGGGGGCTGGAGGCTAAAACGCATGAAGAACAGTTGCAGCCTAGTAAAAAGAACTAGCGGTGACATGATAGCAGTGTTCCAATATTTGAGGGGGTTCAATCTATTCTCCAAAGCACCTGAAGAAGGCAGGACAAGAAGCAATGGACGGAAACTAATCAAGGAGAGAAGAAACCTGGAACTAAGAAATTTCCTGACAATGAGAACAATAAACCAGTGGAACACCTTGCCTCCAGAAGTTGTGGGTGCTCCAACACTGGAGGTTTTTTAAAAGGAGAGGTGCTTGCTTTGGTGCTTCTGATTATCTGTTTACACTGAATGCCAACAGGGGTGTTGATCAGCTTTGCCTCTTCTGAGGTCTGGACTTTGCCAGTGGAATAGTCTGGGACTGTCATCTCTGCTCATGTTCTGATAGCCAGACACCCCCAAAGAATAGAATAGAATATCTTTATTGTCATTGTGTAACTCACAACGAAATTAAGTAGTGAGGGAGCATTGGAAAACAGGCAGAAATTGGTGGTAGTGGTGCATATCCTCCAGCGGCTGAGATCTATTTCCCATGTGGGTTGGTGATGTTTTTAGATATTTATGCTCTATTTGGTTAAAGAAAAATCTGGGGCAGGAAGCAGCAGTCTTCCTTATGCTGACTGGGAGGACTGAGAAAATGGCTGGCATGCAAAAAATCCCGGCATCCCTTATTATGTGCTATCACTTCATGGAAGTGGATCAACTAACGGCATGAGGAGAGCTGTGTCACATGAGCAGATCTTTGTGAAGCAAGTCTAATGCAAGCAAATGTAGCTTCAGAGGGATTAAAAAACAGGAGTGGTGCTGTTGCCTCCCAAATGGAAAAGATTCCTTTGTGGGGCTTGTTTCGGCATCACTGTCCAGGAAGCCTCACCCAGCACCAGCAGGCCTCGCCTGTCTTCCTGTTGTATGATCTGACATTTAGGCCTCAGGAAAAGATCTTGAGAACAAAGAATTCAGCATTCAATTGCTAAACACACCAACAACCACCACCAATCTTCTATTCCTCACCTTCCAGGTACTTAATTGCCTCCACTGGGCAAATGTCTCTCCTAAAATGCAGCACAAGGAGTCTTCACTTGCTGGCTGCAGTTGGGACAGTCTGTTGCTAAGTGATGTGATTGTAAAGCGCAACATCAAACGACTGCACCAACTTAACAACATCAGTTCCAGCCCTGGTTGTTAATTGTCGGCAGTCCTTAAGCATGACATTTCCTGAACCACAACTTGTGACTTCCTGCCAGCTTTTCTTTGTCTTTGCTTGTCAGAATCTGGTAGTAAAGGTTGCAAGGGTGGTCCTGTGACAGCCACAATTTCTAGAAGCAATCCTAAGTCTTCTTTTTCAGGGCTGTCCTGATTTCAGACAATTGCTAAATGGGTGGTCAGTAAGCAAGGGCTACCTGTACAGTATCCAGGACTAGAATCCATATACCAGGTGCAATCTGATCAGCACAGGACAGAAATAAATGATTACTTATTTTTATCTTCCATTGATGCAGCTTAAAATTGTACAGGTAGTCCTCGACTTACAACCACAATTGAGCCCAAAATTTACGCCGTTAGGTGAGAAATTTGTTAAGTGAGTTTTGCCCCATTGGTTTCCCCATTGACCTTGCTTGTCAGAAGGTCACAAAAGGGGGTCATGTGGCCCCCCTGGGACGCTGTGGCCCTCATAAGTATGAACCGGTTGCCAAGCCTCTGAATGTAAATCACGTGACCTTGGGGATGCTGAAAGGGTCGTAATTGTGAAAAACGGTCGTGAGTCACTTTTTTCAGCGCTGTTGTAACTTCAAATGGTCACTGAACTGTTGTAAGTGGAGGACGATCTGTTATTTGTCTTTTTTGCTTCACTATCACACTATCACACTAAGGGATGGGTTTGGACAAAACTCAGCAGCACTTTTTCGTGCGGCTGCTGATAAAAACAGGATCGCCAACTTGATTGCCAACGTCCGATAATGGATATGGCACAAGAAGAAGAAAAAGATCACACTCTTGGCTTATATTCAACTTGTGATCCATCAGGACATCCAGATCCTTTGCACGTGTCTGGTTCATCTATCCTGTGTTTTTTTTATATATCTTTATTTTTTTTCTTATTTAGATATAGGAGCTTGCTTTTGTCTCTGTCTGCATTCATCCCGCTGGGTTTTGCTCAAGGTAGCCCCACTGTCTGTTATCTGTAAATTGATAACCATTTCCCTGGTTCCTTGCCAAAGCCATTTCTCAGATAGAGCCTTTGACATCCTCCCCTGGATGCTTCCCTCCAGCTGAACACACAGCCATTAAGCCAGTGTTTCTCAACCTTGGCAACTTTACGATGTGTGGACTTCAACTCCCAGAATTCTCCAGCTAGCGTTGCTAGCTGGAGAATTCTGGGAGTTGAAGTCCACACATCGTAAAGTTGCCAAGGTTGAGAAACACTGCATTAAGCGTTCTTTGGTTGCATTGGCTCAGCCAGCTGTGTATCTGTCCAGGGGTGGCATCCTTCCACTGCACTGTTTTACTCTGCTTGGCTCTCAAGGGGGGCCTTGTCAAGTGCTTTGATGAGGTTCAAGGGGAGGGTCTGCACTGCTTCCCTCCGGTCAATTAAACTGGTCTTTCTGTCAAATTCTGAATGGACCACTAGGGCTTTTTCTGCCATCAGTTTTCTATATTTCTATATTTTTTAGTCACAACCGTTTTGAAGATTTCTTTTTTTTTTAATTTGGATTTTTCTTTTCAGAGAATTCTTCGAAAAAGAACCAGCAAGCCGGTGAATCCAGCATCAGGTAATTAAACTTTCCCCAATTGCATCTACTGGACATAAATATGATTCTTAAACGGGGGCCCCTCTTCCCTCCATTGCAGGTCACAGCTTCCCTCCACAAGTAAGAGAAACATAGGTTTGTGGATGAGGAACACTGAGGAGAGTAGGCTGAAATATCCTTGACTCCTGACATGCTAGCTTTTCAAAGGCAAGAATCAAAATGTTCAGCCACTGCCCTACTGTAATCCCCTCCAAAAAGGGAGATGGGGGAGAGAGCACAGCCCCTGAAGAGACACGGGCCTGCTCTTGGTGCAGGCAGTACTTACTCAGGAGGAGGCTGCTGCTTCAATTGGGGATCATTTCCTGCAAGCCTCATTTAGATATTAAGAGATCTACTACACCGAAAACAGACGAATCCCATACCAGGCCATAAGAAGCAGATACAGTGTGGTGTTTCTTCTCCCACAACTTCCCAGGGACATCCGCTGAGGAGCATGGACTTCAGCCCCCAGCATCCTAGCCAGCAAAATCATTTCAGATCGTGCTGGAAACTGTAGTTCATATGAATTACATGCCCTGGGTGACATGAACTGCCCTTGCCAGCATTCTCAGGGATCACCAAATACACTGAAGTGATTCTGTTCATGGTGAACGACCTGAATGGCGAGTGATTGATGGAAGTCTTCCAGAGATTACTCCTATGGCAAAGGGAATCTCAGAAAATAACTGAACCTTCATTCTCCTGAAACAGAGAGAAGATCTGCAATCATGAGCAGGATGGAAATGAACTGCAGACCACACCA